TATACACAGAGACAGGATGGGACTGATAGCTTTTCGTCTTTTTGTGGGCCATTTTGATACATGTGTCCCTTTTGGTACACGACTGTTGGAATCTTAACTTATGTGTAAATATTTATCAGAATCAAAAGAGGAGAATCGTTGCAGCTTCAAACTTATAAAGCACAATATATCCCCTTAATGGCCTTATTATATATAATATACAGCACAGAACTAACTGATCAACAAAAACTCCAATAACACAGACAAACCAGAATGGCAAAGTTAACGCCAAAACTCTGTACAAAATGTCAAAACGGTAAGCCGCGTGTAAATGCTATATGCTATCCGTTCAATCGGGTGGTATCAGGTGTTCAAGAAAAAGTAGAAATACTATATCTCGTGCACGACACTCCTCAAAATCTTGTAGCTGTGAGACCAATGAAATTTAGAATGCACTGTAACGTGTACAGGAGATGCTCAGGAGTATCAATGGCTGAGCTGTGATTCTGACGTCCAACAAAACTGCTGGGTGTTTTAACTGTGTTGAAGTTCACCCCCAACTCCACTTCAACTTTTTAAGAACACGCTGCCCACGGTGGATTATTAAGATTAGCTAAAGTCGGCACGGATTAGAACACTAGATTACCCATGGGCGGTAGACCACCCTGAGCGGCCGACCGATGCGCCCTTGAAAGTCTTTAAACATGGTATAATTATCTCACACACATCATTTAGTGCTTGATATTTGAAACACTCAATTCACAACTAATTAAAATTGCAAGCTATTAATAATTTGGTTTCTATTATAGAATACTCATAATGTAAAAGTTTATTATCTTCACAGTATTTTGTAATTAATCAAATAATTTTCTAGCATCTATGCAGTAGACCTTTTAAAATTAGAATGCATGAATAGAGAAGAAATTTAATTGTGTAAACGTTTAAGCTTATCGGATTTCAAAATGATTCTCAAAAGATCCCACGTTCTACATGAAACATGACGGTTGCATTAAAAGTGAGAAGATACCGGGCTCGCGACGGGGCCCTCCGGGCCCTGGGACAAACAACCCGGCGAGGCGGAGAGGGGGGGGGGGCTCGAACATTTTTGAATAATATATGGTCTCTGGCGTCATTTCTGGGACAAGCAACTTGGCGAAGGGGTGGGGGGTGTCTTGAAAAGTTTTGACAGATACATGGTCTCTAGCGTTATTTTAGCATATATCTGGGGTAACTGGAGGTCACTTTGCTAAAACATAGAAACTGAGATTTAACACATTATTAATGACGTACCAAATACTGATGCAATAATAATCAGATGTATGCGGTTTTGACAGGAAATTTTAAGCCAGCAAACAAATGGAAAAACAAAAACCGTGACCATCAGACGCCAAATTATCAACAAAACAAACCTATTCGTTTATTACTTTTAATACCTATCATGTTGAACTGGATTCAAACGGAACTTTTCGTGTACACGCTCAACATCATTGAAGCGTTCTACAGGCCCGGACTAGGCTCCGATTACCTGCCGGGGCCCGAATACCCTGACGGTGACGAGAGCCTAAAACGGAACGAGGACGGGCCGCGGCCCCACGGCGCGAATGCCCGGGCAGGTGGCTTATAGTTTTGAATTCCAGGATCTGAGGAAGCAATTTTTGATTTGGGGAGTTGGGTGGGGGGTGGGGGTGGGGGTTACAATCCTAGGACTTAAGGCGAGGGTCCAGGGACCGCCTAGGCCCCAGAAGTTCCTGGGGGTCTAGATCGCCAGAGACGCTTTCTGGGCGATACTGAACTTAACAAATATATGCATAATAATACCAAGTTGTGGACTGTCTAGAGGTCACACAATCTGGTTAAAACACAGATCGTTTCGTTTTTATAGTTCAAAATTTCGTTTTACTTGGATCTGGAAGAGTTGTTATTTAACTCGTGTTCTGAATGGTGTCAGGAATAAGCCAATGAAACGGTCTGTTATGGCGAGCTTTGGGCGTTTTTTCAAAGAACTGTGGGTAATCTACTAGTAACATCAATGCTGATTGGTTAATCAAATGTCTGACGTCATAGGTCAAAAGTCGGTCTTTTGACCCCTGACGTGACCTATCGCTAAAACTTGTCAGATCTTCATGTAATGTAGGCCATCGAAAGTATAAAAAAACGAAACGAAATATAGGTCTCTATTTTGATCTGATTGGAGGTCACAAATTGTATGCGATTTTTATGAAACTGACAATGTATGTTTATAACCGAAAGATCTCGACATTTTTAGCTTATGGACCCTCTAGACCCCACAGTTTGTATTTAATTGTCAAAACCGTTCAAATATATCACCGTTACACCATAATTTCGTGAAAATCGGACCGAAACCGACCGACAAAATGACCGCTACCCTTAAAAGCATGTAATACCCAGGTTGTGGGCCATCCTAAGGTTCGAATTTTCATCCAATTTTGATATATTCCAAAGGTCTGGGTTCCATTCGATATTGGCGCGTGTTGGGCTGTAACTTTCTGGATTATGATCCCTGATTGTACGAAATATCACGTTTTTAGCCAGTGAACCCTCTAGAGGTCACCATTTCTATCTTATTTTCAAAACCGTTTAAATATATCACCGTTACATCATAACTATGGTTGAGTCCGAACTTCCTGAAAATCGGACCGAAACTTTCAGTCAAATGGCCACTCCTCTTTATATTACGCAAACAGTACAAAAGCATGTAATGCCAAGGTTGAGGTCAGAATTTTTATTCGATTTAGATGAACTTAAAACGAGTAACACTAGCTCATGAATGAGTTCAATTACGGCCCCCTGCTTTTTACGCAAAATGTGAATATGAATGAAGTTTGTGAACCTTTCTGGGGTGACAATTTTGGTCCGATTCATGAGATGAAACTTAAACTATGTGTTAAGGAACAAAAGGTCTTGAAAGAGTTCGACTTTGGTATGCATCAGACCTTATATTCTAGAGCTATAACCCCTGCTTTTTACGCAAAATGTTATATATGTATGAATTTTTAGGCGCTCCAGAGGGGCTACAATTGTTGTCCCATTCTGATGAAACTTAACAAATATGTTAAGGATCAAAAGATCTTGAATGAGAGGATGGGCCGCCCTACTGATTCTACCTCTTCCCCATACATTATTTGGCAAATGTGGGCGTATTTTGCATGGCAACCGCGTGTTTTAACTGGTCATAACTGATAACATTGAATTATTTGATGGATATGGGACACAGGGAAAAAGTGTGAGAAAAACTCTACCCGGTTGTTTTTTTTATTACCTAATCTGTCATAGATACAACAGAAGTGATATGGGGTTGAAATAAAGATCGACTCCTCAGTTAACTAATCGTGACCCTCGCAACTGGGAGTCTTTTTACCAAGGGATAGAGCATAACTGGGTTTTCTTCTGAAAGTCCACGTTATAGAAGTCTCATTTCTATGTTATAAATCAGACCTCGTTGTATCTAAGGGCATAATTACTTGCGTGCAATAACCTGGAGAAAGGAGTACTTGCGGTCAAACTATTAGGGGGGGGGGGGGCTAAAGCCCTTGAAACGCCCGCCCCCCCTCGCCCCACTCCGCCGGGCCTCAATTCACCATTTTTTCCAAAAATATTTTTTAATTCTATCCAGAAAAGTCGCCCGTTACCTTCTACTTCACGATAAATTAAGTAACAGTGTATTTTTTTTTATTAATTTATACCAACAAATTTAAAAAAAAAAATTACTCGGTATACCTCCGGGGCCCCTCTAGGCTCCGGGCTCCTGGACATTTATCTCAGATGCCCCCCCCCCCTTTCACGGGCCCTGGTGCTGGTGATATAAAACTATTTGCCATGTCTTTTTACAATTTTGTATATTTTCGCGCTCCGCACGATCTGAATCGTTTTGTCTAAATTCGCTGCCGTCTGTGTAAGCTTGGTTGTAACTGTTGGACAGTGAAATTAATGTTTGTATTAAAGAGTATTATTTATAAGTTATGTTATCAGCATAATCTATCAACGAGCTCATATAAGCACTAATTAAACTCAAAATTAGTTAAACGTAAGAATGCTCAAAATTGACGACAATGTGTGGCTAATTGTTTTAAATGTTATTTATCTTGATTGTCTCTTCCATCAAATTGACTTCATATATTCTCTTATTATCTTCTATTATGTTAGCTAATTGCGCGTGAACGAACCACGCGCTCAAAATGTCATTGCCAGCCTGTATATTTTGGTTTTCAGATAAAATGCAAATTGTGGTGGTCTCGCTTTGGTCGCCAGAAACATTTTACTTGATCCAGCACCAAACTGAATCAATACCATTTATCGATCTTGGTTTTTTTTCTGGTTGTCATGGTACCATCTAGTCACGTGATCGGTGTCGAGGTCGTGCGAATAAATATTTTATTAAGATTGGATCACGTGGCTTTATAATATTATTTGCATACAATTATAAGTGATGTATTGGTTGAAATTAGGCTAGTACGGACACGTGGTGAATGTTAATTAATTTGTTTACAAATAAATTCATCAACACTTATGTTTCTATTCAACAAGTGTTAATTCGACTATGGATTGGATACTTATTTTTGACATGTATAACAATTTGGAGTATTTATGCGTAATTATCCAATGACGGACATAGGTAATCTACACGTGAAGCTTAAAGCCATTGATGAAATTCTGTAGGCCTGCAACGGTCAGCCGGGAGCCGTGTTTCGTGAACTATGCCGTATAATTAGTAGTTTAGACGATGGAATAATGAGCCTTATTATAATGTTGGCAAGTGTAACGCAATGAGACATTCTGTAACCGGCATTCTAGCCGAATCACTAAAATCGTGTCATTTTATATACGGAACCAAATCAAAAATCGGAGTTGAGACGCCATCATGATCAGTTTTAGCTTATCATTATTATACACTGGAATTTAATATGGAACAAGAGGAAATTTAGTCAGCTGTGTTTGGCGATTACTATGGCGGTGTACAGAACTCACACACGCTGGAGATGCATTAGTTAGCGGAGCTAAAAATGGGTAAAAAAATTCAATGCATTGGAAGATATACCCTAGCAGGCTGTGTTTTGGGCAAGGGGAATTTCGCCCGCGTCGAACTGGCTACACATGACGTTACTGGATGTAAGGTAATGGAATCGATGTTTAGTTTTCTCTCCTCATCACAGGTTTTATTTCTGTAGTTTTTATTTAGATCTATTTATTTATTATCGCTGTATAAAACGTGACTTAAATATATACTTTGCATATTTAGATAAATAGAACGCAGAGGGTTCAAATAGAAAGTAAACAGTCACATAAAATCCAAACATTTGTTTCCCATAATAGGGCCGTTAATTCGAGAAAACTTTAGTTAAAATGTTAAGGCATTAAAGAATGTTATCCTTTCTCGAACGAAGTAGCACAGTGGTATAATGTCGACAAAACAGATTTATAGAGATTACAATTTTTTATGATGTGTTTTGCTTTAATGTTATCTTTTATAAATAATTTTAACAAGCTTTTGAAGAGGCTTATTAAAAGTGCAATAAAGTCAGGAACACTCAAAAGTTTTTCAATTGACATAAGCAGATAATAAACGTCTGATAGATTTCATTGATGATAACAATCAATGTTTTCTTTAAGAATATATTCTTGTGTCGTACCTTATATTATACCCCAAACACATATCACATTTGTCTTATCATGGACCGTATGTTTTAACCCCAGAATTTGTAGACCATATGTGACAAATATATGGACATCAATGTTTGAGTTACATCATTGTTACTACTGATTTTCGTGAAATGTTTTCAAAAAATGACAAGCTAGGGTTTAAAGACATGCTAATATAAGGATTTAAAGACATGGCAAGATAAATGTTAAAAGACATGAGAAGACAGAGGTTTAAAGACATGGCAAGATAGTGGTTTAAAGACATGGCATGGCAAAATAGAGTTTAAAGACATGGGAAGATCGGGTTTAGAGACATGGTAAGATAAGGGTTTAAAGACATGGCAGGATAATGGTTTAAAGACATGACTAGATAGGGTTTAAAGACATAACAAGATAGGGTTTAAAGATGGCATGATAAGGGTAAAAGACATAACAAGATTAGGATTTAAACTTTAAAAACTTGGCAAAATAGCGTTTAAAGACATGGCAAAATAGGGTTTAAAGACATGGCATAAGAAGATAGGGTTTAAAGACATAAGAAGATAGGGTTTAAAGAGGTGAGAAGATAAGGGTTTAAAGACATGAGAAGATAGGGTTTAAAGACGTGAGAAGATAGAGTTTAAAGATATGAGAAGATAAGGGTTTAAAGAATATATTGTAATTGATATAAGTAAACATGTACAGATGGTTATAGTGAAATACTGTTCTGCCCAGTTCAACAATATTTGGCACAGGCTATTTTTTTTATTTGGAAAAAGACTTGTAAGACCATATTATGAGACTTGAAAATTATTTTTTTCCAGGAAGACCTTGAAATAAAGTTAATTTGCACAGTCTAGTCTATGCGTGATTAAACAATGTTTGGTACAAACCTTGCTTTTGTTAGTTGGAAAAAGACTTAGGATACTTAAGAATATATAAGGGCATGCACACATACATATTTCTCAGAGATATGTTTCTATGTGGTCTTAATAAAATACTTGTGGATTAAAATGTACTGAGTTGTTTTAAAGCTTCCCACTTATTTGAAACAGTTGATTTTGTCCAACTTAATTTTGTCTAACTGATATCAGTATAGTTTTTAATAGATTCTGTCTCTAGACTATCTTATTATAAAGAGTAATAGAGTTAAATATTGTTTCCTATATATGGTACTTGTGTTATTAATATTGATTGAGTTTTATACCGTTAGTTGAAGTATTGTACTGTAGAATATATTCATGTTTTTAATTGATTTATCCATTATACTTTTGTAGCTTGCAATTTTCTCACTCTCCAATTTCATCAGGGGTATGATAGGCCAAACATTTAACATATACTCACTTAGTCATTAGTTTATTCATTAAGTATTCCTGCCCAGCAAGGCCATTTTTTTTTTACCAGTATAACCCAGATTGAGCAGTTTGTTTCGCTTCTGAATAATATTTTATTACAAGTACAAAGTTAGAATGGCTAAACCTCTTTGATTTGTGTCCAAAAATAAAACTATGAATTTCGTAGCTTTTTATATGTTGATCTGTTTAGTGGGATGACCTTCCGATAGTTGAAAATGTTCACATCTGTAGATAAAGCCATTGTTGAGATATAACTAATAACAGTATGCTAAAAATTAGTAAACAAATCAAATTCAGCTTAATAAACAATATTTTTTATGAGATAGAGCTTGTCCCATCACTAATCAAAAGAACACATCCAATGCAATTCAGTATTTCATTTTGACCTAAATTAGAAGAGATTTAGAAAAATAGTGTTTAGTAGACAACATAGGCGTACGGGCTCGATGACAGTTAGAGGGGGCAGAACCCGAAATGCCCGAAAAAATTTCAGGATTAGAGACAGTGGCACAGGTCTTCCTCGAGAGGCGAAGAAGTGGAGCTTAATTACCTTGTATGGACACCCCCCAAGAAAATTTTGGAATATTTGACGGCTGCAAACACATTTTCCTACTATTCCAGCCTGTGAATACAGCAACTTCAATTTGGTCCAATATAGCCTACCTGGCTGACCCGAATTCCAAACAACCAATCAATCGTCGCGGGGTATGGGGGCCTCACCCTCCCGGATAAAATTTTTAAAATTTAACCAACGCAAATGCGTTTTCTGCTATTCTAGCCCATGTAAGCATCTCCAAAAGTATCCAATGGTTTTGTAACCGAAATTCCATTTTGAATTCCAAAAATCCAATCAGACTGTTGCAGCTGCATTCACAAATAATAATCGATGCCCGAAAAATTTCGCACAAAGTAAGAGTGGCTCCAGACAAAATGTTTTAATCCATAATCAACTCAGTACAAATTCGTGGTATTCAATTAGTAAAATTAGTGTTTTATTAAGAAAGCAAAACTAGAAATGCCCGAAAAAATTTCAGGTTTACAGACAGCGGCGCCGGTTTTCTTCGAGAGGCGAAGAAGCGGAGCTGAACTTGTATGGAGCCCCAAAGAAAATTTTGGAATATTTGATGGCAGCAAACGTGTTTTCCTGCTATTCCAGCCTGTAGAATTAATGTTTTATTAGATTTCAGGCACTTTATTTTCCAAAGTAGATGAAATTTTGGAATATTTGACGGGTCGCAAACGTGTTTGACTGCTATTCCAGCCCGTAAAACTAGTGTTTTATTAGATTTCGGGCACTTTATTTTGCCAAGTAGATGAAATAATTTTTTTTTTTTCACTTTACCCATCTGCCCGAAAAGTCAGCTTGCCCGAAAGTTAGGGCGGCAGCTGCTCCCCCATGCCCCCCTGGCTTGTACGCCTATGGTAGACAATGCATTGTAGAACAAACCAAGAACAAAAGAAAGCATACATCAATTCAAAGAGTAGATTCAACATAAGTGTGAAATTAAAGCTTAAAAAATAATGTGACTGTCCTGAAGAAGTTTTGTCCTTTGGTATTTAGTTGTATGGTGACAGGTGGTCCTGTTGACAGGGGTGGTCTAAATCATTAAAATCACAAATATCATTGACTCTTATTAAACACATGCCTGAGTTGTCATACATGTATCACAAACATCTCAAGTTTCCACAGCTATATTATTGCTGTCAACTTGTTTTTTGGTTAATAGTGAAATAAAATTATAATGCAAACATTGTAAATGAATGATATAGTTGATATGAAATTACTGATTGCTGTCTACATCAGTTAAACATCAAACATAAGGCCTGGAGGTATATTTTTGATCAACAAAATAGATACTAACTATACATATGGTAATATTAGACTCAGTATTAAATTTTTACAAAATAAATTGAATACTTTAGATCTGTTGAATTAGATTTGTACCCTGAATGATATTGTTCTTTCTGCACATGTACTGATGTGATCAGGTGGCCAGGAAGTTTATGTACTTTTACTGCTGTGATTAATTGGTCAGGAAGTTTATGCTAGAAGTGATTGATGTAGTAAAGTTAGATTTTGTCTAGTTTTGTTGTGTCTTCATGATTTAAATTATCTCAACAATTAGTAACTAAAGTACTCCATGGAGTGTATATATATGACAGGGGATTTGAGTCAAAAGTCAGTGCTATGTTGTTAGTTTTTTAACTTCTACAATGTTGCAAATGTTGAATGTTACCTGTAAATTGGAAGAAGTCAAATGAAAAACAAGCCAACAGTGAGGCTGATGTCCCCTGCCGAAATCCCAAAATAAATAGATGACACATATAAATTAATTGCAGATTTACTTTTTGCAAAAGTATCAAGCAATCAAACTGATTATCAACTATACACCAAGTTTCATCACTCTCTATCAGATAGAATCAAAGCTATCTGGCCCCAAAACATTGACCAATAAAATTGCTTAGCACTGTTTAACTTTAGCTCGAAATGTTAATCATTGAACTCGGTCAAGACATCAACATCAAGTTTAAACAATCTACCTCAATTAAAAGCAGAGTTGTTATGTTCCAAAGTCTTGACCAATCAAATTGCTTATCAATCCTTAGCCTCATCAGTCAAACTTAGTCAAGGTAATGATATAATGAATCTGTACTCAGAGTTTCATCACTCTCACTTAATTAAAACCAAAGTTATTGGCCCCAAAGCATCAACCAATCAGATTGCTTATCTCTGCTTACCGTAACCAGACAATGTTTATCATCGAACTCCATCAAGACATTCACCTAATGAATGCCTACACCAAGTTTGAATATTCTACCTCAACTAGAAATAGATGTGACAAAACTATACACCAAGTACTTAATTAGAACTAAAGTTAAAAGTTTGAACATTCTACCTCAACTAGAAATAGAGTTATTGTGTTCCAAAGTCTTGACCAATCAAATTGCTTATCGCTCTGCTTACCCTGAGCAGAAAATGCTCATTATGGAACTTAGTCAAGGTATTGATGTAATAAAACTATACACCAAATTTCATCATTCTCACTTAATTAGAACTAAAGTTATCGTGTCCCAAAGCATCAACCCATCAAGGCATTGACCTAATAAACACCCACACCAAGTTTGAACATTCTAGCCTT